AGGCAGGAAATCCAAGCAGAGATACAGGAAAGAGAAAGGCAGGATGAGAGACTCACACCACCCAAGAAGCAACAAGATGTCAGCAAACCAGTAACAGCATGGCCATGGGCAATGTGGCAAAACAGACAAATAGGAATAGGTTGAGTTAACTTGTAAGAGCTAGCTAACAAAAAACTTGAGCCACAGCCAAACAGTTTGTAATTAATATTAAGCCTCTGTGTAATTATTTTATAAGAGGCTATGGACTGCGGACAGGAGAGATTGGTTTGGACCACAGGCTGGGGCAGACCGGAGAAACTTCTGGCTATTTGTGTTTACTTGGGACGGAGTGGCTGTGGGACTGGGCTGGACACAGGAACACTTCCAGCTACAGTGACCAAAGAAAACTTGGCGAGGAAAGGGTTCACTTGGCATATAGGTCATCAGGGGAAGCCAAGGCTGGAACTCAGGGCAGGAACCTGGAGGCAGACAGAGGTCATGGAGGAGAGCTGCTTACTGACTTGCTCCCAGTGGCTCCCTCAGCCTGCTTTCTTATGTAACCCAGGACCACCTGCCCAAGGGTGACACAGCACAATTGGCTGGGCCTCTCCCGTTGATCATTAATCAAGAAAACTCCCTCAATCTTGTCTATAGGCAACCCCATGGAGACATTTTCTCAATCAAGGTTCCCCTTCTCAGATCATTAGCTTGTATCAAGTAAACACAAAACCAATCAGGAAACTCACTTATGATGATATTTTATTTGGGCTGAAATGTGATTTTATTTGTGTGTTAATAAATAAAGTTGCCTGGGGGTCAGAGCTAATAGCAAGCCATTTAGCAGAAGTCTGGCAGTGGTAGCCCACGCCCTTAATCCGATCACCTGACAGGCAGAGTCTCTGAGTGTTCAAGGACATAGCCAGCTTGGTTACACACGCCTTTAATCCAAGTACCAACCATAGAGGCCTGGAGGTCTGCATAGACAGGCAGTGACGAAGAAGTCATGTGGATGGGTTTAGAACCAATGAGAAGGCAGAACAGAAAGTCACTAAAATGACAGACACACAGGAAGTAGGTCCTTTCTTGGGGAAGGACGACAGCAAGGGGAAAGAAGGTGGTCACAGCTCTTGGCTGCTGCGTGAACTCAGGGCTTTTAACTCTGCATTCAGCTCTGTGTTTGTTATTTAATAAGACTGTTCAGAATTACATCTACATGCACTGGACCCAGTGTTCCCTGACTCTAGGCTGGCTGGCCAACAGCCCATCTGTCATCATGGTTGTCGCGTCCTGTCCCGTCCCGTCCCGTCATTCCCCCCCCCCCCCCATAGTTGCAGTGACGGGCCTTTACACAGGCGCTGTGGCTCTGAACGGAGGTCCTCACGTATGCATCCTAACCACTTCACCTGCTAATCCACCTCTCCACTTCCCTTTTGTGTGTGTTTTGAGATTTTTCTTTTTCTTTTTCTTTTTTTTTTTTTAGAGCTGAGGCCCGAACCCCAGGCCTTGCGCTTTCTAGGCAAGCTCTCTACCACTGAGCTAAATCCCCAACCCCTTGAGATTTTTCTCTAGGTATCCCAGGCTGACCTCAGATTCACGACCTTCCTGCCCACAAGGGTTAGCATTACAAGCGTTTGTCATTACCCCGGCTCTATGGCATCTTCTGCAAGGTGACGACAGCAGAGTCACTGACAAAAAAACTTGGAGTGACTTGACAAAAGAGGAAAGAATTCAAGGCCAAGGGCCTCCAATTAGAAAGTTTTCTTGTAAGCCAGGCATGGTGGCATACACCTTTAATCCCAGCACTCAGGAGGCAGAGGCAGGCGGATCTCTGTGAGTTCCAGGCCAGCCTGGGCTACAGAGGGAGTTCTGGACATCGAGGGCTACCCAGAGAAAATACCCTGTCTCAAAAATAGAAACCAACCAACAAAAAAAGTTTTGTTGTAGAAGGTCTGTCATAGGTGGAAAGAGATGTCACTGGTGGATTGTAATTCGGGATGAAAGTCAGCAACTGGGACAGGATGTTTTATGGAGACAGAAAGAACAGAGAACTGTGACTGAAACAGGAAGGCTCCTCAGATGCCTTAAACCAGTGAGAAACTTGATTCAATCAGTTCTTCAAATTTTGTGCCAGCCAGGGATCTACTTCACCCTGCGCATCTCTTAGTGAACCTGAATGCAAGAGATAAAGTTTCCCACTCAAATTGGCTACACATTAAGGACAATGTTTGGCTCACAAGTTTGAACGGTGGAGTAGGCTTTCGAACTGACCTGGAGTGTCCCCAGGTCCATTTTCTAGTAATTCTCTTGGACTCTGCTTTCTTCCTTATGTCAATGTTTCTCCTTATGCTGGTTTTGAAGAATGTGCTAAAGCTAGGCTGGCAAGATGGCTCAGGGCATAACAGCCTTGCCCCTCAAGCCTGATGACCGGAGTTCAATCCCCAAGACCTATGCTGGGAGGATAGAACTGATTCCCCAAAGTGGTCCTCTGACCTTCACGTGCTCATTGTGGCACACAGTTGCCTGCCCTCACGCACCACATCATTCACACTCACACAGACACAGACACACACACACACACACACACACACACACACACACACACACAGAATATGTATGTATGTATTATTAAAAAGAATGCTTTCACTCACTCTTTTGACTTCTCCCATGTGCTCATGACTATGTTGGGGGGGAAAGGGGACTTTTTCCCCCTCTAGATTTGACTTTCAATGCCTACATTGGGTCTCATTTAGGACAGCCCTGAACCATTCCTTGGGACCAAAAGCAATGTTTGTGCTTATTTAAATCACTTGGCAAGGGATTTGGCCAGGATCCGTGGACAATAAAGGGACCCTCAGAACCAGAGTGAAACAAAGAGAAACTAACCACAAAGCCCAGCAGAGCGGGTCCAGAAGGCAGTGGAAATGATTCCAGAGCGAAAAGATACAGAGTTGGCGGTCGTTAGCATTGATGTTAATTTGAAGACTTGGGAGAATTTGAGATTATTTAGAGGGATGGTGTTTTGTGAGAAGAACAAGAGAAGACAGAGGAACAGAGGACCAGTTCTGGGTGATGGAAGACAGCAGAGGAAGGAGAGATGGGACCATGGAGGCAGTATTTACAGAGCCAAAGCGGGACCAGCTACTTATCTCTGAAGGCACGGCTTGAATGTTTAAGAAGGGGATTTTTCAGTGCTGGGGAGATGGTTGGATCTATGAAGGGCTTGCCTTGCAATCGTGAGGAACTGATGTTCATTCCTCAGGACCCACATTTTAACAATGCCAACGTAGCTCAACAAGCTGGCTCAGCAGGGTCTCTGGCCTGGGATCAATTTTTTTTTTAAGTAGGTAGTGCCGAGGCAAGGGTACTCTACATCTACAATATGCATTTGCGCTGGAGCACACCAGCATTCATACACATTTGGTTTTTAGTTTTCTTAGTTCCCCGACGCAGTGTACTTCTCCATAGGCAAATGCTCTCCCGTTTATTTCATTTTCTCCATCACAATGTCCTTCAAAGTTTGTCTCTAATTTTTAAAAATTTATTTATTTTTACGGTATTGTGTTTTTGTGCGTAGGAGCATGCCACAGCACATGTGTGATTAGAGAATAGCTTTGGGGAGACAGTTCTCGCCTTAGACTTGCCTGAGGCATGCTTTCTCTTGTTTCTGCTGCTGAGATGTGTACCCCACGCTGGCTGGCCTGAGAGATTCTTGAGTGAGTCTCCTGTCTCCACCTCCCAAAGCCCTAATGGACTGCTAGGATTTCAAATGCATGCCACCACATCCCACTTTTTACATAAATCCCAGGGAGCCAGCTGAGCCCTCCCTCCAGCACTTGGTTTTGTTTTGGGGGACAGGGTTTCCCTTAGTATCCTTATGTTGCCTTGCCTGGCCTAGAGCATGTAGATCAGCCTGGCCCTGAACTCATAGAGATCCACCTGCTACTTCTGAAGGGCTGGGATTAAAACCAGGCAATAGGCTTGGCCAAGGTGGCATATGCCTTTAATCCCTGCTCTTTGGAGACAGAGGCTGGGTTCAGTTCCCAGCACCCACATGGTGACTGACACTGTCTCTAATTCCAGCTCCAGGGCATCCAGCACCTTCTTCTGGCCTTCGAAGGCACGCACAAAGTACAAATCACTCATATGCATAAAAAAAATTTTTATATTTACAAATTTTATTTTTTTTTTTAGTCTCAAAAATACATATAGATGAAAACCTGCTCTGCAAATGCAGACAGGCCTTGCCCATCATGTGGTATTCTTTCTGTCACAAAACACTGTCGTATGAAGATCAGCACATAGCTCTGAAACACACCATTTACAAGCACACGTACTCTAAGTAATGGCCTCCTTTCTATTCACACAGACCCCAGGTGGGAACTTCAGAAGTCATCACCTCCCTACAGAGCCCTGTCTACACAGGCGTCACCGAGTATCTGTTTAGCTTCGACCGTCAATAATGAGGTCATGCGGTAAATTGTCACTCCCAAAGACATGCAAAATGAACTTCTATGACTCAAAGCTTTGGTATATGCTGGAGGTTGTTTTGGTGACACCCGGAGCTTACTAAGATTCTCTGTTCTACGGTTTGTCGTC